GAAGGTCACGCTGAGGGTGGCCCAGAATGCATCTGCTCCCCAAACCTCAGCTAGTATTGTCATCCCTAGAGCAACATATACTGTAGTATTCGCAGATACAGTATATATACTGTATATGCACAACAGAACAAATGTTTGTATAAAAAATTAGAAAAAAATGAATACGGTATGATAGGGGCTGCTGCAAATTTTGGATTTCCAGCCAATTCACATTTAAATGACTTAGGTCATATTTTAAAAAGTTGGATTGAGAAAAAGGCTCTTTTTCTCAATTGGTTTTCTACACAAGACATACCTAGCAACTACTGTATACAAAACCAGGGTGCCTGAAGGACCGTACTGATTACCACTGTTTGATTATGGCCACTGAATACAGCTCAAAAATGGCAAAGACGACTGTTTTTTTCCCCATGAGGGGCATGTGGGGGTGTATAAAGAATATAGAAATGCAAATCTCAGTTCCTGAGGATGTCTACCATAGTACTCAAAGAAATATTGGTACTACTTCTAATACTAGTAGATTTTTTAATATGCCATTCTGTTTTTCATATACTCTCTAAAGTGTCGTGACGCATAGTTTTGCCATACCTAAGACAAATGTTGCAATATTCATCTGTTTAACTATCTGATTTCTATTAAACTAAGCAAAAGCTGCAGAACAAGAACACAAAGATTAAAACAATGTTTTGGTTTCCACACCTGTTTTGTCACAAAGTCGAGTAACATCTTTATACTTCTACAAAAACATGAAGGAAAATGTTTTTCTGGATCACAGGGTTGAAAATGTATTTGTTATTAATCGTTTAAAACACGTTTGTAGCAACAGTTTAATTTCCTAATTTTGTTTGCATCCCATTAAAACTGAGAAAATACCAGGTGAAAGGTAGGCACTGCAGTAGCTCACAAAAGATTATTGATATTATCGAATTGAATACATAGAATATATAAACACTGGGTTATTGGTCATGTGAAATCTTTTGACTTTTTGTCTTGTGAGAAACAAAAATGAAACTACTAAATCCCCATCCACTGCCATCATTTAAGAAGCATTAAAAGCGAGTCGCATAAAGGAGAGAAGCTGATGTTGATAATTCTGCCTCAAAAGAAAAATAGGCCATTATTTGGGCAGTGAAGAGAATCAATGATGCAGTCTTTCACTGAGCTGACTCACTTGTTTCATGTCTTCTGCAGGTTTTCAATTTACAACTAATGGCTTTTGTGGAGCTGCAGCTATTTTACATCACGATGCAATATACTTATACGCAGGTGGTTGAATAACCAAAAAAAAAAACATGTTCACGAACATTTTGAAACCTGAGAAAAACAGAAGGAAAAAAAAAAACCAACAGCGCGGTAATGAGAACAATAGGGAATGTACTCAGGGATTCCCACCTTACTAACATTAGCACAGCTTGGAGATTTGAGTATAACACATTATTGAACCAGTTTCAAAAGGGCAAAAAATGAAATGGAAAAAACAGAAATTCTTTATAATCAGCTCATACAAGGTGTTTCATTACCCTTTAGAAACAAGATCATTTGCTTGAGGTCTTTGGAGGAATTAAAACATCTCTATGTCTAGGATTAACCCTTTACAGTCTGTTTCTGCTCAATACTGCACCAATGGGTGACCCTGGTCTTTGCTATAGGACCTAAATTCAACTTTAGTAATCAAATTACAAAAGGCATGAAAAGTCGGTCAATTTGTTGGGAAACTAAGGCTGAATGTGTGCAAAGTTAATGAATCTGAAAAGAAAGGAAAACACATGTTTCTTTCTTCTTGTATTTGACTTTGGCAGTTTTTTTGAAGCCGTTGATTCTGGTTTATTCATGAGCAAACCCAGCCTCATTTTCAGTCATCTTCCCAATCAAAGATGCAATGCAAGCAAGCTGTTTACATATGATTGATGGAGGCAATCACAGGACTGAAGTCTGACAGACTTGGCCAGGAATGAATGATACAAATCTTTTTTTTTTTCCAGGAAGCTCAAGCCATTTCGTTTCTGCTTTTCCTCTTCTTACAGGATGAGGGGTACAATACAAGGCAGTCCGTTACAAGAATCATGGAGTGGAACAACATCTATTTTTTTAAGAATCAGGCTTTTCATTAAGGGACATACTTTTCTTGGAAAGTCACTATTTCACTAAAAGAAAAGAAAAACAACAACAAGATCAGCAGTGGATGGCTGGAGATCTCAAAGCAGAACACAAATAAAAACGCATTCCAATCAGCAGTCCATCTAATAAAACAACATTTTTCTCAATCCACCTTTTCCTTGGAACAGCTTCAATAGTTGTAAAAAGTTCATTCATGGAGATAAAATTTTAATTCTGTACTTAACATGAGAACTGCAATATGACAGACACATTTCAGAATCCCAGTTTACTCTGGCTGTATGCTTATGCAGAAAATTCAATTCCTCTGCTGGTGCATACATTTCAAAATATTGTGCAAGATGCTGAAGGATTCTTTATAACACTTTAAGAGAATTCTTCACAGATTTTTCTATGTGGAATATCTCCTAATGTTATTGTGTCTGATTTTAGATTTCAGCCCAAGTCTCTTTTTCAGACTAATTATTTCAATTAACTTTAAAGTCTGTTTCCCAGAAAGATTATATAAGATAGGCTGACATACAGCTATCAGGGCTACAACATTTAGGAATTTAAATGTGAGGTCTAAATGGTGCAATCAGGGCCAGGATTTATTATTTTAAACTTAAAAGGCAAACACTAACACAGATATTGTTTTCAAAAACTAATTACAGGGTAAGTGGCAAACCGAAGAGCCATTTAGTCAATGTGTTAAACCCATCCATCAATTAAAATATTCCATATGTGTCACTAGATGGCTTCTTCCTGCTTTCCCGAAACTTCATCTGTCATCCCACTGCAAAGCTACAATTAAATATCCACTTTATTATTATCTGAGTTTAAATATTAGTGTTATTGTTTGAGATCACTGGAAGATTTGATTAATTCCAGACCAACATTATTTTGGTTCATTGATCCGTGCAGATTTCACTGAACTATTCATCCTTTGATCCATTTATTTCAACACATTGTCAACATACATGCAGGGAAAATATTTTTCTTGTCCATCACCGTAGTTATAGTTTTTTTTTTTCTGGAGAGCCGGCAGACAATGACTTCCGTCATGCCCCAAGATATACAGTAGCTGCACATTCAGTGAACACAGAGCAGATATATGAAAATGTATTTTGTGCAGGAGCGGAACCCAATTTTATGGGATCAAATTCCAACTGAAGAGCAATCACAGATGACCCATAAAACAATAGACAAGAGAAGATATTCTTAGTATTTTCCACCCAGATGATGACTTCAGAAACTTGGCTTGAGGTGGAAACAGCATTGATAATTTGAACTGCTTTTTAGGTTGAATTCTGCTTTCAGTAAGCTGTGTGGTGTGTCCTTTAGAGGTCTGAATGGGAAGAAAAGTGTATTGAAAACTGAGCTTAAAATCAAAAGTAATCATTTGAATGCTGGTCATTAAGGCAACACCCTTCAGAAACATAACCTCGACAATATCTACTATGGTTTGAATTGGAGTTAGGATTACCTTTTTACAGTATTTTTAAATTATCTATTTATCAGCTAGGACTGTTATTGTACAGTTTTGATTGAATAAACAAAGGATCTCATACATTAGAGAAAACCTCCTGACAACACATTCTTTGTCTACTGAACTGTTAGAACAATAGTTATCAACACTTCTACCCCAAGACCATAATTAAAACTGATGAGCAAGAAAAACATACTATAGAAATCACCACCAAGAAAAATGTGTGAAACCGGCAAAATTAGGTACAGTAGTTAGTTCACTGACGTAAATTAGAGTGTAGCTGACCCCCACTGCAATTTACCCACCTTGTTCTGAAAGGAAAAGATATAATTGTATAAGTTTCCCAAATGTACAACTCTATTCATCCAAATGTTTTGTTTTATCCAGTGCTGTGGGGAAGCAATGGATGCAAGGCAGGTTACATCCTGGATACCAGTCCATCACAGAGCACACACACACACCAGGGCTACTTTTTAACAGAAGCCAAATTAACCTCCCAGCATGTCTGTGGACGGTCGGTGGAAACCAGAGCACTCTGAGGAGACCCATGAGAACATACAGTATAAACTCCATGCAGATACTGTAGCACCCAAAGTCAGAAATTGAACCCAGGGCTCCAGTGCTGTGAGGTAATTAATGCTAACCACTTTGTAGTACGACATGCTCTTTCAGCAACAGGTCGTCCTTTCTATTCTTTACTCCACAGCAACACGCTTTTTGTAACAGAGCCAAAGCCTGGATAGTATGTCATTGTGCCTAAATCTTTTACTTATTTTAAATCCACAATTCCATATCTCATGTACTGTACGACAAGGCTTCAATTATGACATTATGCCTAGCTTCTAACACATGAATCATACAGTTTATCTTGGATACATCAAGATCTCCTGACAAAAAAAAACAATGATCTTTTCCCTTGTATACAGTACGTTATGTAGTTTGCTTCTGCTCCAGACGCCAACAGAGTGAAGGCTTCTTAGTGCCAACAAAAGCGCAATAATCCGCCTTTTGAATAAGCATTAGTTACTTTTAACTTTACCGCACAACGTCTGTCTGTGGTTGTTTGGCTTAAAGAAAAAAAATAGTTTGTTTCACCACATTTGAAACAAATTGTGTTCTAAAGTTTACATTTTGAATACAAATGTATACAGTATGTTACAATTCCATAGAGAGCAATTGTGTACATCATTCGAACTGCAAGTGTAGCTACAAACAATGATTAAAAGTGATAATAAACACCCTTTGGATACATTCAGAACTGTTCAATCATTCACACGCTTCGCTGTTAATACCCTGAAACAGCCGTGTCCGCTAGCAGGGCTGTGCCCTGTGTGACTACGGGTTTGTTCGAGGGTTTCTCCCGGGAGCCCTACAAATGGACTGTTTGAGAAGCTGCGTCATGTGACGGCAGTGGAAAAATGGCGCAGCTGCGGGGATCTGTATAGCAAGTACCTGCTACAGCTCCCGTATATATTGGGACATTTTATAAAATAAAAAAAAAAGAGTGTTGGAAATATTTTATTTTTGAAGCAACGGGGAGTCGACTTGTAATTTGTCAGCTTCTGCTGAAGTTAGCTCGAGAAAAGAGTGGGAAAGGAATGCGTTACCGTGCGTGCGAATAAAATCACGGTCTTTACATTACAGCTTCAGACTGTCGGAGATGCTGCAGTAGTGACAGGGTTGGTAACAGATTCCCGTACACAGCTGGGAAGAGATTACGGATAACAACATTGCACAGATAATATATACTTTAGCAAGACAGAGCGAGGATAGACGGGCGAAGTGTAAGGAAATGCTCCGTTTTCAGAAAAAATAATTCATTATAACATTTTTATTCCATACTCCTAACGTGAATTACAAGAGATAACGGGGAGCTGAGAGGTTTATGCAACTTTGACTTATTTTTCCTTCCATGAAAACGAGTAAATCACGCTTTGGCTTCTTGGGAATTTTACCAGGATCATGTGGACTCCCACAGAAGAAGAAAAAATTGGCGTCGGTAAGTTAATATTGTTCGCTTATTTGAGCAATCCTTTGATTTTTTTTGTTTAGTTTGGCATTTCGTCCATTCACAACTATTGATTTATAAAAAAACACATTAAACTCATAATATTCAAATAAAAATATGCTGTTGCGGGGTTTAATTTTAGTTTTGGGTTTGTAGGCGTAGATTAAAATCTGGTTGGAACAATTGTATTTTTATGAGAATTTTGAATGTGGTATCTTTTATTATTCTCATACAAGCTAAATGAAATCACTGATAGCGATAAAGCATGTACTGCTATTGAAAACGTATACGAAAATTAAACAGGATTTCAAAATATAATCAATATTTTAATGTTTTTAACGATGTAATCTTTATTAGAGTTCAGCTGATGCTGGTTATGTTCTGGTTCTGCAGGTTAGATTGTGTTTCTAGAGAAACATGGCATCCCCATGCATAAGCAATATATATATATATTGCTGTTAATTGTGCAGGTGTAAAGATGTTATCTGGCAAGCCAGTTCAAGGTGTTGAATACAGTAAACAGATTTTCTGTGCTTTACAAACGGCAAAAGTGTAGTGCTATATCAAACAAACCGTCAGGGGACGCTAAAAACACCTTTCTTTCAAACAGGTGTATGGACAAAAACTATAAAGGAACCCTTTTAGTATAATAAACACCGAGAACAGCAGCGGTTATTAGAATTTAGTTTTCTTGACATAGACCCTACAATGTCTAGGTAGTGTTTGTGAGTAATGCACTATGAGTAAACAAGAAGATCATTAGCGCTCCTCTGGGCTGGAGAGCAATCGATAATAAAATATCCAAGAAATCTCACGTAAACCATTCCCGTTTCTCGTGAAAACGATTTTCTGATATTAAATTATAGTCATAGTTCACTCTGGAACCAAGTGTCATGAAGAAAGATAAAATATTCCTGCAGTCGTCATAAATACATCGGCTTAATACTATTTCCAACACTTGCAGTAGGGTTTAACTGCTCCTCCTCAGTTCGTGTTATGTTTAAGTGTCTCGAGGTGTTCGATTAATAATTTCTAAGCAGTTTAGTTACGACTTAAAGAGGAAAATCAAATCATCGGTCAACAGTAGTCCATACTTCCTCGCATCTACCTCTCACAGTGATAGTGATCTTTATTTTGTACAGCACAAACCGTCAGTGTATTTCAAAGCTCCATTTCCCATTCCGTCTACTGAAAGAGGGTAGCGCCCTGCTACAGTACAGTTTCCGATCTAAAAAGCAAGAATCAATGAATGAAAAAAGGAATCAAATAAGCGAATAAAGCTGGTACAGTTTTGCAGTGAATGAAATTGGTGTTGATGCGCAGGCTTGTTCGCTAAGAGAACCAAGATTGAAAAACATGAAGGGAAATTCTACTTGCGCTGTGATAAAACGAAAATTCCTATGAGTTACTATGATATTCCTATTCCCTATCACTTTGAAACAAAATTGCAATTCTGTACTGTAATATTGTTTTCCCTGTCTGAGTCATTCAAATGAACACAATTAACATGATTAGCGCCCTCTGGTGTCTAATATATATATATATAAATGATTGATCGAGCACGGAGGACGAGTCTAAAAATCAAGTTTAAATGTAACCTGCGGTATTGCAGTAAATTTGTCCGAGGTTACTGTTCAAGACAAATTAAGTATTTAAAAAATGTGCTTTGAAAGGGAATATTGCAGCGTTCGGAAACCTGTGTGCGCGTGTCTGAGAGGATAACCGCAGTACGTGATCTCCTGGTTTTCTAGCTGTACGACATACTGTAGCATAAAATAAACACGTTCTTTCACACGACTATAGAATGCTTGCAGCTTCATCACTGACGCCTACGCTTTGGCAAATAAGGGTGTGCAATCAGCAAGCTACCTCTGCGTGTATCTCTCCAGCATTAACTACTTGGAGAAGAGGAAGGGTATTCAACTACATCTGTCTGGACCCCAATTGAATACTTGAGACATTTTGCTGACCGATGTTCATCCCAGGAGAAAGCACTAGTGAAGAGCTTGTATCTTAATTAAATATAATAATAAAATAATATCGACAATGATAAAGAAGTTTGGAAAATAGGGTGATGGATTGTTTTTTTTTTATTCTCCTGAAAATTATAGCCCAAAGTCATCTTGGACAACTTTTTTTCTTTCAAATATGTGATTCTTTAATAACCCTAGCAGGTACATACTTTTGTTCAAGGAATTTGATCAGTGAATGTTTTCTAGACGATTAACTCATTGACTCATAAGCCTAGGTATTTTTATTTTATGACCACAGAACGGATAAGCCTGGTTGTTTTTTTTTTCAGTGTATGTTTTGCTCTCTATTATGAAAACAGAAAACTGTTATAGGACTTCCACTGTCACTTAAGGTTTTCCATAGTCTGCCTGGAAAGTAACACTGAATCGATGCAAGAGTCTAGCCTTTTTCAGTGAGATGACTATTATATTTCTTCTCCCTGTGTTCTGTCTGTGTCTCTGTGTTTTCATAGTACTGTAAATAGTGCAGTGGAGTGTGGACATCATTTCTGGTTTACAGCTGTGCTCTTTGTTACAGTTTTTCTGCAGAAAAGTGATCAGACAGATCTATTGCTTTTTATCTATGCCATTGCAACTCTAGTGCTCAGGTTAAGTCTAGCTTTGTTGTTGGGATAGGTTATGCAGTATATGCTGTAACGAAAGCTATTGTCATTAATTGTGTCAAGGCATAGCAAATTTAGTTACACCAGTTCTAGCTTTTGCACAGTTTAGATTAGAATCATGGTTTGACTTGAGGCAAGCATATTCATTTTAATTTACTTGAAGGTTACAGAGGAGTCTCACACCACAGTTTAAGAAGGATATTTGAATCAAATTAACTCTGATGTTTCATGGCAGTTTTAATCTCATAACCACCCTTGAGAGATAGGAGTGGTGAAAAGCTCCTTTTAAAAAGACTTGATTAAAAATAATCTTTATAAATTGGAATCTTAATGGGAAAGTATATGTGCAGATTGCTTTTTTAAAATACAATGGGGTTGAAGTAGAAGCAAAAATATGGGAAGGATTAAAAACTGCAAGTGTTTTGCTCCAGAAGAGAACCATTGTAGGTCATCAGGTGGCTGGAACACTTTCACATTTCGTGTCAGCAGCTAAATTCTGTAGCTGTCTCTGATGGTGACTTCCATGAATGGCAAAAAAAAAAAAAGTGCTGAAGACCTTCACTTGGATCCTTTCACAAGATTCTGCAAAAGCTTGTTTTGCCATCTCATCTCATTTTCTAACCGTGAACTGTTGGTGGTAACAGGCTGTGAGGAGTAGACCGGACTTCTCTCTCCCCTGCAACAGTCTCCAGCTCCTCCTGGGGAACTCCCAGGTGCTCCAGGCCAGCTGAGAGACGGGACCTAGGTCTGGCCTGGGGTCTCCTCTCTGTGGGCCGTGCCCCGTACACCTCCAGTGGGAAGCACCCAGGAGGCATCCTCACCAGAAACCTCAATCTGGAGGAGCAGAGACATGTGACAGTGTGGAGTGGGAGGCGCTGTGATGAGCACCGGGGAAAAAGTTGACGCCCCCAGTGAGGTTAGCAGGGACCAAAAATAATACCAAAAAAGCAGAAAAATAACAAAAAGAAAGAGTACTGCTGTGCTGCATAACCTCCAGGCTGGGCTCACTCTTTTTAATGGGGTCCAGCCTGGGAAAACAAAAGAGCCCCTAGCACAGCCGTGACCACACCGGACTGACCCTATTTAGCGGGGTCCAGTCTGGTGAGCAGGGTGCCTAAGGCAAAAACAAAACAAGGACTGAGTGCATAACAAAAATGCGTGTGTATGCCCGCCCCAGTGAAAGTGCATGATGGGACAGGCAAGAAGAAAAATGAAAAAAAAACCTTACGTGGTTTCAATCCCCTCCGAGACTGTCGGTGAAAATTCCCCCCTTCCGGGGATGTCCCTGCTCATCCTGTTGGGGTTGTCCAGTGTGCCTTTATTGGACCTGCCCAGCTGAGGCTCATCATCTAGAAGCCAGGACAGCTGGTACTAGAAAGGCAAGGCTCCGGCTCCACACTGGGCACGCCCCCACGTAATGCCACAGACTACTCCAGTGTCCTTCCAGACTGCTGAGCTCCTAACCATGTCATGAGTAAGCCCTGGAGCCCTATGGACAAACCTCTTTTCTGCTGCTTTTACCTATCATCTCATTCTTTTGGACGCTACTCAAACTTTCTGACCGTAGGTGAGGATTGACCTGACAAGGACTGAAAAAAACAAAACCAGAGACTGGTCCAGAAATCCAGCTCCTACTTCACCACCATGAATTCCTTCATTCCACCATCTTCATTAACTATTTATTTGTTATGACTTTCCCAAAACATGTATGTCTGTATTAAATCTTCTGTACAGAATGTTCATTTACAGCCCCAGGATGTGGAATCCCCACACAGCTCTTGAGGACAACTAGTTTAAAATGGAAAGACTTGTTTCACAAGAGCATTTCTTGCTGAGCATAAATTTTCATTTGTGAAAAGAATAAATCCTGAGGTTATAATTTCCCTATTTGTATTGCATTATTGTGCTGATATGCGTGAATAAATGTGTACAGGTGAAGAATGTAGAGGGTTGGTCTGTAATTACTTCCCATTTGTTATGGAACAGATGGTGGATAAACTATGGGATGTTTGTGTGATACAATAAGTTAATATGACTGGGTGATATCTTGGGAATTGTTTCTCAAGATTACATTAGTTTAACTATCTAGTTTAACCTTTGCTGTCTTATCATGGCAATTTCAGCTTTAGCCAACTAAGGGTATTCTAATAAAATAAATCAATCATTTTTAGAAGGTGTTCAGTTACTTCTTATTGCAAATGTGTATTATCCTCTTTTGCTTTCTTATTGAAATAATTTTGTGCTGCATTTCTTTCATTTGTATAAAAACAACACCGAAAAGCTCTGAATGCCTTTTTGCCTGTCGGATTCTAGAAGCCTGTCTCTTCTTTCTGAATGGCTGAGTGAAATAGCCCAC